GTTTTTAGTCAAAACGACGTCATTTTTGCAACCGTGCGCACCATGCATGGTGCACACGGTTGCACAGCATAACGATTGTGTAAGCATACGCACTCAAGTTGGAGGATTAGTCCACTGGCAAATTATGTTGTGGAACTGTGTCCACCTTGCAAGCATACACACTCACCTTGCAAGGTGGACACGGTTCTAAACTATCATAATTGTGAATATAGAGTTCAAAAATTATGAACATAGCCTTTAATTTTTTATTTTTTTTTAAATTATGAACATAGAGTTCTATAATTATGAATATAGAATTCTGTAATTGTGAATATAGAGTTCAATATTTGTGAATATGAAGTTCAAAAATTATGAACATAGAGTTTTATAATTATGAACATAGAGTTCTGTAATTGTTAATATAGAGTTCAATAATTGTAAATATGAAGTTTAAAAATTATGAACATAGAGTTTTATAATTATAAACATAGAGTTCAGTAATTATGAACATAGAACCGTGTCCATCTTACAAGGTGGACACGGTTCCACAGCATAACAATTGTAGTCCACTAGGTTGGCGGTCAAGCACAATTTGAACCTGACCAACGATCTAATTAACTTTGGTTTTCTTGATCAAGTAGTCCAACCCATGGCTCTAGATGCAATATCTTGATTGAAATTACATGAATTGTTGACCTTACTTTTGGGCGAAGGGAAACACGTAATCACTATCTGATGGTGTGTATTGATTATTAAATAAAACATACTTTTGTGTAATAGCTCAAAAACTACACGGAAGAAGTAAACTCACTGGGAAGATCACGTGCATGTGACTGGCTTAATTGACTGAGAGAATGTTGGCAAGAATTGAATTTGTAACCTTAAGTACAATAATTATGCTTTAACTACTCGCCCATTCCTTTTAGAGCTTGTTGACCTTATTTTGACACACTAACTAAGAGCATCTACACTAGTAGATTTTAGGAGGTTTTTGGTACAGTAACAATCATGTGTATTATTTTTGAACAAATGTGGAGTGAATTTTTTTATTTTTGGGTTTTTTTTTTCTCCTGCAAGGAGAGGTTCTTGGTTGGGGACCACTGACTGATAAAGAAAAACAAAGCAATAATCTGCAATTGCGTGATGCAGACGCAGAATTGCTCACGCCAGCTGTTGAACATTTTTTTCCTACGTCAGATATGACACGTCAAATTTTTTTTAGTATATTTTATTTTTATTTATTTTTTACTTTTTCCTTTTTCTCTCTCCATCTCATATCTCTCCTAGTTGTCTTCTTAAATACCGTGCAAAAAAAAAAAAAAAAAAAACAAACTACTATAGATCCCTAAGCATCATCTTATTTGAACATTATTTGTATACCAACAAATCATGTGCATGTGTTATCAATTAATTACATATTAATTGGGGTAGTCAATTCTCCAATCATGATGTGAGAGCCACACTAGTCTAGCATATATACTATCATATACAAACAAAGAACATCAAGAATTAATTTGAAGTAGTAGACCTTATCTATGCTTGAAATTAAGTCATAATTTGTGTTGTTATATGACTAATTTGTATCTAGTGGGGTTTCACATCTAAATTTGATGGAATATCTCTATTTTTATCATCATATAACCTAAGTTTACTATCTAGTTGAAACTTGAAAGTTAAAAAACTAGTATTATAGCATAAATTGAGAAATATAATTTCTAAGTTTGAAAGTTGTAGGTAAATGGTCTTTCAATTATTAAAATTGGAGATAATTACAATTTTTGCTCATTGGTACAAACTAGTCAAGCTAATTCTTTAATTATAGGTTTTCAAAAAAAAAAAATCTTTAATTATAGAGTTAACTAATGTGACATACAGTCACACGTGTTTGGCATGTTATGAGGATGCATGACATATTTTGCGAAATAGTTACATGTGATTTTGAGGACATTAAACCCAGATAGGTCTAAAGTCACTCAATAATTTCACTATTTGTATTAGTTGTCATAACATGTACAAAATTCAAAACAAAATAATAAATGTCGTGACTAGATGAATCAAAATAGCATAATTAGGCTATTCTTGCATATTTTAATAACTAAAAAAGTGCAATTAACCTACTAAAGTACGAAGAAAAATAATTATTTAGTTAGCAAAATCAATTGTATGATTTTTTCCTCTAATGTTTATAGTAATGAGACCAGTTAATTATAATTTGTAGTGAGACAAAAAGATTGATATATTGTACGCTCAAAATGGATAATGTGAAATTGATTCTCAAAGTAAACTCATTTGAGTAGGAAAATGAAGGGGAAAAGGCTTTAAAGTAGCATTTGTCTCACATTGGTTTAGAAAGTATGTTTGCACCACTATTTATACAATATTCTTTTTAAGTTTTATTGAATTGTATAGCATAGAGGCTCTCTCGCGCGCGCAGGCTTGACTCGTGTACGCTTGGGTACCTCATCTCGTAAGTACGATTCGGGTAGCGACCTTTCTGGGTTTTAATTCATCAGAGGAATTAATTACAATTTTGAATTACAGAATTAATTCTCAGCTTAATATCAATTTTAAATGCCATGATTAAAAGTTATTTAATCCTTCAACTCTTATATAAGTTGTAGTTCAGCAAGTGATTTGATATACTGAAATCTGTAGCGTTTTTCTTTCTCGAAACCATGTTATTCTTCTTTCTTGCCATATGTGCTCTTCCCACGCTTTTGTTCGCCGGGTTCTAAATTTGAGTGCTCATAACTTAAAACCGTAATACGTATTATCCTGAGAAACCTAGGAGGCAACGCTCCTGACACCTTTGGGAGGCAGCAAATAAGGTTTTAAGGAAAGAGTGCTTCGCTCGACTTGTACTAAAAACCTAACCAAAAATCCATTCATCCCTGTGATTGTAGGCTCGACTTGCACACACACACACACATATATAAAATCATGTGAGAACACTACTTTAGGTGAGAACGTGTAGTCATTTCTTGGCCTTTGATTTTAGCAAATCTAATGATTGTTATTTTTTGTATTTTATATTATTTATTTGGCTGTTTTTAGTCTTGGCAGTTAATTGGCCGTGCAGACACAATCACCAATTTTAGATTAAATCATAGCCGTGCGATCCTTAAAATGAATGGTATGGATTAGACTACACATCCTCACCTAAAGTAGTGTCCTCACCACACCAACATACACACACACACACATTCCAATGCTCAATGTGTATTTTTAAATTAGTGTTTCAGAATTTATCAAAGTATCATAGCGCATATAAATGCAAGATTATCAATTTTTTTCATAAAAGTAAATATTTCAAGAATTCATAACTATGACTTGTGGCATAATTTTTATAAAAATAACTGGTGCAATAATAGTTTTAGAGGGAAATACCCTCACTAGATAGTACGTACCCAAACTTAATTTTTACAACACAAAATCCTGTTAGTGATTTAATCTAGTCCCCTAGTGTGCTTCACTGCAATTTTTGTGCCTTAGCGCAGTATACCTTCAAAAATAGAACCAAATTATTCTTCCCCAAAAAGACAATGGCCCTGTTTGGTAAAATGGCTGTTAGCTGATAACTGTTAGCTGTTAGCTGATTGTGTTAATTAGAGGGTATAAATAGTTGATAACTTTAGCTGATTGTAGAAATGTGGTTGGTAAATTAGCTGTTAGCTGATAGCTGTTTGGTATAATTTCTTTTCTCAAAAAGCTAATTGAAAAAATTGCTTGGAGTAGCTTTTTGAATTTTAGCCTTTTGGAGTTGCAAAAAGTTAATTAACCAAACATTTATATTGATATTTTAACTAAATCAAACAATTAATAGTGGTCAAATAAGCCAAAATTGACCTATAGGCCAATTTTTTACCAAACAGGGCCAATGATAATATGCATAGTTTCTCATTAGTGTTGAATATATAATGTAAATTAGGTATATCGTTTGATAAATGCCCAATGCGTGTTCTAATTAGAGTTCTACTACATGTACTTCCAAATCTTACTCCCTCAAATTTTACTCCATGATGTGGCCGGCATTGATATGCTATTTTCTTCATGTGGGTCTCTGTAAATGTGTCTGCATCAAAATTTTAAGTGTGAGAGTAAAAGTTAGGACTAGAGAATGGGAGTACAGATAATATTTTCCTTCTAATTAATCGATCAAAGTTGATGTTAAATTTTATATTGTATTTTTTAATACACTCTAACATATTCATAATATATGTTTTAACAATTATATCAATTTTGATTGCAATTTTGATTGGGATGAAGTTCGAACCTAAGACTTTCCTTATGAAAATCGATGAGTAAGTTAAGAATAATAAATAATTAATAAAATATTTGGTTAATAAAGTTTACACTACGGAATGCATGCGTATTTTTTTTTTTTTTAAAAAAGTAAATGATATAATAGAGGGTAAAATAAGAAAAAAAAAATATTAAAATCAAAATAATTGAGGGTAAAGTAGGTAAAGTATGTGGCTAACTTTATTGACTCTGTTTGTATTTGTAAATGTAGATATATTTTGGAAAGAAAGTTAGAAAACACAAGCAAAAGTAGAGAATGGGTATGTCAAAGATCATTTCCTAATTGTATTATGTTTATATCTTATATATTATGAGTTGAATTTAAAAGCCTAAAATTTGTATATTTATATAAAAAAATTAGTATTTCAAATTGTGTGTTTGTGTTTTTTTTTTTCTTAATAATTTAAGTTTTCCGTCCTTGTCGGATTATATTTTGTATATTTCATGAATATGCTCTTAAATTTATGAGAATTGTTAAATTATATCGTTGAAAATTTTTAAGACTTCTCATCTCGATAAATAAAGTCTTTACGTTGATGATGTCAAATTGCAAAATGGAGAGGAGTGTTTTGCATAAATTGTAAAAGTTAGAGGGCATCTTTTCAAATTTAGGATAATATTTTAAATGTATAGAGCACAGAGGTGTTCAATCATTCGAAAATAAAATATTACTAACACAAAATAATTAATAAATATAAAATTGAAGGAAAAGAAAAGGCACCATCTCTCTGCATCGCAGTCACACAAGGCCTGCAGACCCCCATTTCCCTTTTTCTTTCTCTTCATCTTCTTCCTCTCACTAAACTCTCTCTCTCTCTCCCTTTCTCTCTCTCTCTCTCCCTGTTTCTCTCTCTTAAATTGACTCTTCCGACTTCTCTCAGATCAGGTTTGTATCTTCCCCACGATATTGATCTAGCTTTCTGTGTACTGAAAATTCAGTGAGTTGTTTAAAATTTTGCACTTAGGGTTTCTTCTACAGATGCATACCCTTGTAATACTAGATGGGTATGTGTTTTTTGAAGTTGATTGTGAGTTTAGTCGGTATAAAGTGAACTCTTTGCCGTTTATGCGGTGAGAAGTATGAGGTTTTGGCGATTTCAGATCGATTCAACTGTGGGGGGTCTAATGGAGCTCGATCTGGTAATTGGGGGTTGATTTGAATCCAGCTTAAGATTTGTTTGGATCTTTTTCTGAGGATAGAATCAGCTCAACTGGGCAACTTTTTTGCTAGTTGTCAGTTTGGTATAGGTTACTGGATATGGATTTAAAGTTATTTTCTTTAAAATAATTTCGTGTCAAAGCAGTTTTTCCCTTTACAGTGCAGAATCAAAAGAATTGGTAGAGATGGTAGAACTATTCGAGCGGTTGAAATGAAAATTACAAATACAATAATGCAATTTGTGCTGTATAACTTTTTTTTTTTTTTTTTTTTTTTTTTTTTTTAGGTTCTGATGTCTTGCCCTATATTATCTTACCAGCTAGAAGAAAGTGAGTTTGAATTCATATCCTAGGACTATATTCAAATAGTTTTGTAAGCTATTGAACTGGTAGATAAGTTGACAGGTCAAGCTGATTCGAAACAGTATTAAGAAAACAAAAGAACCTTAAGCTGGATTCAAGTTAAATATGGAGCTCCAATAGATCTTGAGTTGATGAAAGGTCACCGAGGACTTGGACTTTAATCATCACAAAAACCCAAAAATAGAACTTTATAGGTGACAATTATAAATCTTCAAAAGATTATCTTTGCTGATGATTTCTGAAATTACAGATGTTGGATTTTGTTACTGAATTAGTTAATTTTGTTTAAAGATCTGTGCTTTTTCATGTTTGCTCTCACATGTTAAACACATTAGGCTAACAACAAGGAAATGATTGGTGTTGGGATGATAATGATATTCATTCATTGTTTTCTTTTCTTCAAATTCTATTTTACTTATTCTATTAGTAGTACTTAGCCTACATAAGGCTGAATTTCTTGGATTATTGTGTTAAACACATGTTTAAATGATGTGCATTTATATTTTGCTTGTGATTCTTAATATTTGACTTACATTATCTTTGTGGTTGAGATATGACAGGCTAGCTATATTGGCTTTTTGGATTGTGCTAATAAAAGGATTAAAAGCAAATCTAGCTGAAACCCCAACAAAAAGGATGAATTGGTCAAATCCCAAGCCTGCTTGATCCGTAACGCTCTTTCTTCCTACTTCTGTTTGTCGTTTTGCTTGTGGTTAGTTATTTATTAACTTGTGTGCTATACAAAGTCGGAAAAGGATATGCTTAGATCATGCCACGTGATGATAATGGACTAAATTATAAAGTTTTGGAATTTGCCCCGTCTGTATGGTCTCCGTAACGGTTTGGTCATACAAAATTACTCATTACTTGAGGACTGAAAACACGTTTTTCTTTTGGCCATTAGAATACAAGGTCTTTGGGAAGGACTGATCCTTGATGCCCTTTAATATTTCTGTCACTTTTTCCTTGTAATAAGCTGCATTTTGCAAATAGATTATCATGAAATAATTTCTGTCAATTAGCTGATAGTGATGCAAGACTAAGATTAATATTCGTGAAGGCTGAGATCATACGTGATGGTGCAGCAGAAAAACAAGAACTACTGGGCATTTTACCTTTAGATGCCAGTTAAATAAGTTAAGCAAAACATATTAGGACGGCAACAACATAGATGGGGAAATACGCCAAAAAAACTTGAAGAGATGTACTAAAAGCACCAGCAGTAGGGAGCATAGGATGAGATAATTGCACATTTGCTTATAAATTATTTGTAGTTCAATGTCTGGTGACTATGAGTTTGTAAATAGTGGCCTAGTTACTGCCAGTTTACACTATAGAGGCTTTGGTTGAATAATAAGAAACATATAGTGAATGGTCGGCCATCAGAGGTGAATTGTAAGATTAGTTAAATAGGGAAGAAAAATAAGGGGATGGAAGCTGAAGCTACTTTATTCATCTTAAAAAACACAAATGCTATGTTTTTTTCCATGTAATTCTGGATAAGAAGATATAGAAGGTCCATATGAGAGTATACCTTTATGTCATTCTATACTCAACGACTAACTTTGAAGATTTCAGTAAGGTTAATGTTGATAATGGAATAAAGGAAAAACCTTTGGTTGTAATGATGAGTTTTAGTAAATATATTCCTTATTTATGTAAAATATTACATACTACTGCCATACAATTGATATGAAAATATAAGAGTTGTCTATATTTTACTTATCCAAAAAAGGACAAGAATCACCTTTATTTTATACCATATAGTTTCCTCCATCTATATTTTATATGACTATCTTTTGTTGTATTTCCCTTTTGGTGTTTGGTTAATTCTTTTCTTTGGTGAATTTTGCAGATCTAATTAAATAACAAGGCCATAATAATTGATTCACTGAAAAACCTGCGCTTCATTTGTGACCGATACAAATATGTCTGAGTTGCTGAAAAATGATTCTATCCAAATTAGAGAGGTTTGGAATGATAATCTTGAAAAAGAGTTTGCTCTTATCCGTGAAATCGTTGATGAGTATCCTTTTATCGCCATGGACACTGAGTTTCCCGGGGTAGTTCTTCGGCCTGTTGGCAACTTCAAGAACATTAACGAGTATAACTATCAGACGTTGAAGGATAATGTTGATATGTTGAAGTTGATTCAATTAGGTCTCACATTTTCAGATGAAGATGGTAACTTGCCTACATGTGGAACAGATCACTATTGCATTTGGCAGTTCAACTTTCGTGAATTTGACATGAGCGAGGATATCTTTGCAAATGATTCCATCGACCTGTTGAGGCAATCTGGCATTGATTTCAAGAAGAACAATGAAATGGGGATCGATGCAACCCGCTTTGGTGAGCTACTGATGTCGTCTGGTATTGTATTGAACGATGGTGTGCAATGGGTGACATTTCACAGTGGATACGACTTTGGGTACCTCCTCAAGCTATTAACCTGCAAGAATTTACCAGATACCCAGAGTGGGTTCTTCGATTTGCTGAATATGTACTTCCCAATAGTGTACGACATTAAGCACTTGATGAGGTTCTGCAATAGCCTCCACGGTGGGTTAAACAAACTCGCAGAGCTGTTGGAGGTCGAGAGAATCGGGATCTGCCATCAAGCTGGTTCAGATAGCTTGCTCACCTCTTGCGCATTCAAGAAGTTGAAGGAAAACTTCTTTAGTGGCGCAACCGAGAAATATGCAGGTGTTCTGTATGGTCTCGGTGTTGAAAATGGTTCTGACAATAAATAGACTTAAGGAGGAGGTAATGTACTTGTGAAGAAAAATAAGAAGATTAGAAGAGTTTATGTATGTTGAGTTGTGTAGAAGAACATGTATCATGTCTGTAAGAAATTTAATTGTGATCAAATATCTGTAACGACAATATGGATTTCACTAAGAGAGTCAGCTTCTAATTTCATTTCCATTTCCAATAGTTTTCCAATTTCCCCTCTCCTTTTCTTGAGGTAACTCCAGCCAAAATGACTGAAGATACAAACTTGTAACTACATGATCATGAGTTCGAATTCTAGTTTTCTTGGTTTTGAGTCAATCAGTTATAAGCAACTTATGTTGATTTATTTCTTTGTAGTTGTTTGCCAGTTAGGGTCTTATGATGGATTTTACCCGGTCCTTTACCGGTTAGAGTCATAAGACTGGGTTTTATCTAGGTACACACCATCTGGTAATGACTTTGGGTTTTTCTCGTTATCCAAAAAAAATGAGTAAGTTTCTGCAATAGTAGTTTTTGCCTATGGAGAATAATAGCTGCCTAATAGAAGAAGTGGATGTATGTATATAACTCTGGAAAAATTGACAAATTTTACAAGGATAAGATGATTACTGTGGTGATACAACTCAGCAGTAGGAAAAACCAGGAAGAATCAATGGCACAAAATTTCCTGGAATTCTCAGATCTAAAAATGGCAAACACCAAATGTATGAACATCCTCACAACTGCCAAGATCCCAAATAATAAACATACAATAAGTATAACGATTCCTTTACTCTCCATATGTACTTGATTCTTCCGCACCTTGTCCACTTTAAGTCTGCATTTTCATCCAAGTTTTGGAAAGAAATATGATCATTACAACACAAAAAAAGGGGATGAAACATGGCACGAAAGAAATTTCTCACGTTTTAATCGCTTAAGTAAAAGGTCTTAAAAATGGAATAAATTTTCAGTTTATTTAAGATATCAAACCTGAGGTTAGCATTGTCCCGGATTATGGTCTCCAGCTGCATGGAAACGATGGATTTCCAAGATAGGAGATCATTGATCTCCTTGCTCTGCAAGAAAAAAGTCGGGTTAGAATATATTAAACCCTTCCCATTGAAGTGAAAACCGAGACCAAAACGAAGCACAAAAAGGAATATGCATGCATATACCATTGCCACATCGCTCTTTGATAAACTCTTTATATCTGATGTGATCTGCTGCAGAAGGGCGTCCTTCGTTACTATGTCATTGTCAAAGTCACTTAAAACCTTTCCATATCGAGAATTCAACTCTTCCAGATACCGTTCCAGAACTGACAAATTTATATCCAGAGATTGAACTTTTTTCATAAGAATTAAAAGAACGCTATCCCCGGGCATCCTGTTTATGTGTTGAGGACGAAATTCCTCGGTTTGATCAGGGGCACCATTTGCCAGCAATCTGCGTTTGGTATCCGAGCTTTCAAGCACAGGATCGGTTTCTGTATTTTTGTTATGCTCAACTTCGGGGGATGGATGCGGGGTTTCTACAACTCTTTGTTTACTACTTGTTTGATCAGATGAGAACAACTTATCGGAAATAGATATAAGATCCTCAAGCAGTCTCTCAACAGCATCAACTCCATACACTTCCAGAACACTTAATGTACAGTAGAACTCTGAACCGTAATGACTCAGAAGCTTCAATTTCAAATATCTCACCCATTTTGGCTGTGGAAGAACAAACCTCCGAGCATGCTTGACATTTCCTGCAGTAAAATTTCCGAGTTTGACCCATGTGTCAGTCGGATAAACAGGGCTGCCAAGAAGCTCAAAATCCTTCAGATTGGACGAGTAGTGCTCGAAGTTTGCTATTTCGATTGTGTCCACTAAAGTTTCTTCCGAGAGTTCTATGACAACAAATTTCTCCTCAGCAGAGCACGGGTTTCTGAGGTATTTGTCTTTATCTCTGCTCAAGATATTAGAAGCACCTTTCGCTTCCTTGTTGTACGCCAAGACCTTGGCTCCTTTGGAAGCCGAAGCGTAATTGTACTCTTCCCCTCCCGGCTCCATCCGGTGGGTGACACTTCCAGCCTGACCACTTTCTTCCTGAGCTTTAGTGTTAAATGCTTTGCTTCTGAACTCATCAAGGCCTACAGGGATTGTGTGAGAAAATCTGTCGGACTTGGGAACTTCCAATTCTGAATTTGCAGTACCCAATTTCCTAGCACACGCTTGCTCTTCAATGCCATTTATTGCGTTTATATTCTCCAAACTGATTTGTGATTCACTAAGAACGTTCTCCTTTCCAGTCATCACTTTATGTGAAGCCTCGTCCAACTGTTCAGAACTGATTGTGTCCGAGGGTTTTTCACCTGCGGGAAAAACAGCATTACTGCCTGCATCAAATCCAAGTTTATCTTCATCCAAAGTTCTTATGCTAACCTCTCCAGACTCACCTAGATCCATCAAAACGAACATAAATGTAAAAGAGTCAGAAGAATTTGGCAAACATACTACACAAAAATGATCTCAGCTAGAGAACATAAATATACCATCAAAGGAACCAAGATAGACTACTTGGTTGAATACACAGTCACGCACACATTAAGGAAACATGCCCTAAAACAAAATTCCCCATGCCGGGGGTAACCCCAGCCAAGATGGCTAAGGATACAAACTTGTAACCACAATGTCACGAGTTCGAATCCCAACCCTCTTAGTTTGAGCTGGTCATCTATGGGCAACCTAGGCTAGTTTACCTCCTTATGGTCCTTTGCCGGCTAGAGTCACAAGGCGGGGTTTACCCAGTACACAGTAACACACACATTAAGGAAACATGCCATAAAACAAAATTCCCCATGCCGGGGGTAACCCCAGCCAAGATGGCTAAGGATACGAACTTGTAACCATAAGGTCACGAGTTCAAATCTCAGTCATCTTAGTTTGAGCCGGTCAGCTATGGGCAACCTAGGCTGGTTTACCTCATTGTGGTCCTTTGCCAGCTAGGGTCACAAGGCGGGATTTACGCAGTAACACACACGTTAAGGAAACATGCCCTAAAACAAAATTCCCCATGCCTCCATCATTGCTTTCTGAAATATGAGACTAACAGAAAATTTCAATTGAAAAACTGACCTTTGAAAAGGGCACCATGGCTTATCCAGGAATTCGACAAGATGACAAGGCCCCATATAGCAACAACGAGATAAAGAGATACTTCGTAGACAAACTTTCTCCCCCAGATCATTTCCTCCAATGCTCTTCTTTGGAGAAGAGCTCTTCGTGACCTCTGCATTGCACATAATCCAATCTGCCGCAGAACAATGAAGATCCCTCCAGAGAAATCACTTATCTGGGTTCCACAATCAAAATATAGATTAACTGATCAACATAAAGTTTCATAGCAATAGTACTAGTCAAACAATTGAGCACACACCTTTTCTCTATAAAGTCAAATAATCTGACAATGCAATTCAATCAAACAAAAGAAAAGCAGCACATCACAAACCAGATATTAGGTCTGCTTTTCCTCTACCCTATAACTGTCAAGAATCTCAAGATGTATAAAGCATGGTAAGCAAACAAACAAAACAAGAATTGAACCCTTTCCTTCTAACTAAAGCTTTCTTCCGTTTAATTTTTCTTGTTGGCTTTAAATTCCCAAACGTACATTTCACTTCAACTATCAAACCTTAGAGCTGACGCCAACAATTAACACTCTTTCTTTTGATGAAAAGAAAATTGAATTTCAACAGAATCAAAAAAGCAGAGCGTAAAACAAATTCAAATCCATCCGAAATTAAAGAAACACCCAAACAAAAATAAGAATCAATAAGAACTGCATGGGAATGAAACAAAATATCACCCACCTGAAAATTCAATCTGAATCATGGAAATCTTGAAACCAAATCCAAAACGGCAATCTTTTCTCTTGCATAACGTCTTCTGGGGGTTGGCCTCAACCGAACATTCGATCCTTATTCTGAAAGACCAGAGTTTTAAATTTATTATTTATTTATTTATTTTTATAAAAATATGTTTTCAGAATCTGGGTTTTAATTACCTCTAACGGTTAAAGGGAAAAAGACAAACCCTGAAAATTTTTCAGGAGTTTAACTGGCAATTGAATTTTGCCACAAAAGGCTAGAGAAGAGATGGAATGGCACGAATGAGAAGAGAGAGGAAGTTTGGGCTACGGGCCCGTGAGAGAGAGAAAATGACGGACCAATGATGGACATATATGATGAAATGATGACGTGTGTGTTTCCTAGGAGTAAAATAATGGTTGGTCGGTCAGGGGTGAGACAAAAGAACGTAGGCGGTGGTTTGATGAGCTGGACGCTTCGTGGGAGACGTAATCCACGCCGAATAATCAGTTCACTGACGTGAGTGCTTGCTTCGCCAGCTAGGAAAAAAGCAACGAACCGTATTTGGAAGAAGAAGAGATCAATATTCCAAAAGAAGAAGAGATCAATGTTTTTGTTATAAATATATATACTTAGTTGACATTATTATGTAACGGATGTAACGGTCCGGTAATTAAGCATACCATTATTGTATCTGTTATACTTGCATTGTATATATACTTACATATGTTGTATTGTTTGGATGCTAGTGAAATGAAACTTACTCTTCCCCCTATCTCTCTATATTATGTTCTTGTTTTAACTTATACGGAGTACTTTGAATACTATACTCAAATCACCGGTTAGGAGCTAACGGGCACAAACAACATTACAACACGTTATCAGCACGCTCTACTGCGGTGAACGGTAATATTTGTTATTAGGCGGTAGAAAAATCATAATTGTGTTCTGTGGATATATTTCTAAGATTATATTATTTTAGATAATTGTTTGCCTATGAATGTACGTTTTTTTTTCAGTATACATAATCATAATCATACAAAACATACGAAATATATCCTAGATATTATGTGCATATATGATTTTTTTTTGTTTTTTTGAGCACATACTGCGTATATTTTTGTCTCTCGAAAAATCAAAGACAAAACTGTTTTTTTTTAATTAAAAAAAAAAAAAAAAAAAAAAAAAAAAACAAACCGAAAACATAATCCGCGATCCGTCGGACGGTGACGGCGAATCTGAACGAGTGCCGGAGGTGCAAACCGAATCGAACGCTGGCGAGTGTGGCCCTTGGTTTTGATTGTTTCGTCTTCTAAAATGGAAGAGTGACTGGAGTTCTAGCGATGGCGGTTTCGATCTGCCGATTGAACGAGGCCTGTGCGTCGGGCGGCGATGGCGACGACAGCACTGCTCCGGCGATCGCGCTATGCTTGACGATGGCGGAGGCGGCTCTGTGCGTCGACGTTCGGCGATTGGAGGCGGCGCTACTCTGAGATGAAGGTGGCGCCGTTCCGGAGATGGCGCTGCTCTGGCAATGGTAATGGCGATCGGCGGTAGACCTCCGGTCTTATCGGCGACGATAAGCGGTGATGAAGGCTCGGGCCGTGGTGGTGGCCGACGATCTCTCTGCTACTGCGCGACTCTTTCCCTCTCGAGCGTCTATCTCGTTTTTTTGTCTGGCTGCTAGGTTTTTGCAGATAATAAAACAAAGCAATGGTTTATCGGTTGGGCCGGGTTTGGCCCAATTTGACCAGGCATGGTCCACTTTAATAAAAATTATTTTGGGCTTATTATTTGAGTATTATTGTTGAATATGCTTATATATTAAATTGTTTTTTTTTGCAATTTATTTGGATAATATGATGAATTCTTATGCATATTCTGTCTTGCATAATATATAGTTTTATTATTATGCGAATGGAGAATTATTCTTTAGAAGTGGACCCTTGTTTTTAGCCAGTCTTAGTATATATAGATTTTTTTTGAAAAATCTCGATCTTGGCTGCTATCATTGAGTGTGAATTCACCGAGCTTGGTTTCAATGGGAGCAATTACTCAGAAGTCCACGAGCGATGAGGCCTTGAAAGCTAAAAGCCTTAATTTTTCTTCTTTTTTTTTCCCCCTCGCCACCATCTGAAAAATGAATAGCTTTTTATAAAAGGACCGTTATGCCTTATAGAAATCCCCGAAGGATAAATTTGACTAGCACATATTCATTGGTCCTTTCTAAAATCTCAATTCGACTGCCTTAACTTGATCTTTCAAAACTTTAAATCAAATTCCTGATTCTAAATCAACTATACGCAAAATTGTGGCCCAACTAAAGTTGCGTAAGCAGAATATTTTTTCTGGCACGAATTTGATTGGCGAGCCCTTGTCTTCTTTTCCACACCACCCTCCTCCCATGAATGTAAAAGCACAACCACAGGTTGACGCAAATCTATAGTGCATGCCCAGTTGGTTCTGCACCGGTGCCCGAAGCACACGACGTCACCTAATTGTGCAACACTAAAAGGGGCTGAGGAAGAAGACGGGAAAGAGGTAAGGCCAAGGTGGCAAAAACAATAACTCCCGAAACTAGAATAAAAAGCAAAAATGATCCAACTCGTCGAGGATAACCATTTTTCATACAATTAGAACTCTGGCCCAGCAGCAAATATGCTTCAATTGTTGGTTAAAAAGGCACCGATCACGTGCGTGCCACATCCCGAAGCAGTTTGTTGAAACCTAAATGAACATCACAATGTTGAATCCAATCAAGTTGCCTTGCCTGAAGCAAACGCTCTTGTTGGTTATATTGATGACCTACTTTTTCATTCAACATCATTTCAGTGATGTTTTATTTTGGAAGATCTTTATACAAACATCTAACTTCTTCCTGCAATTATTGATAAGGTTTCCTTTGTGGGTTCCGGTAGAGCTTCACTTTTACTCCATCAATTTTTTAAAATTGAAATGCCTTCATTCGATCAAATATCCTACTTTGATCAATTATCCTTCATCTGGTGAGTAGACATATGTTACTCGCTCTTTATAATCTAAAAAGAAGGATATGATCTAGTATCTTATGGATAATGCCTAATTTTCAGATTATCCTATGAACTTCGTCCACTTTTCGACGATTATTATATGACATTAAGAATTAAGGCGGAGTATCAAGTACCTTATGCTCATACCCAAATGGTTTAGCTAATTAATAAAGTTATGGCTTATCACTAAACCATTATTTTCAAAATTTCAATGTGCCGAATACTTGGTGGGGAAATGCAATATTTATGGTAAAAATTTCGGCACACTGCATATCCTTATTCCCCCCTTACATCTAATACGTGGTTTTCAAACAAACATTTCCCAAATCTGCGTTTCTATTATTATGAATGCAGTCCAGTCTATTACATAATCACCATAGTGTATCCATCTAAACTTCCATTTGTTGTCTCCAATATTTAAAGCCCCTGAAAGAGACGCGATGGATACGCTGACTACATGAAGATCGGTTCACGGCATTAGGGGGAGATATGCTCAAAATTGAAATAGAATGCCGAGAAATTTCATGAAATGATCTTCAAAAAAATTAAATCCACGTACCAATTAGATTGAACCAGAAGTTCATAAAAAAATCTGTCAAATAATCTATTTCATAAAAAGAGTGACTAGGTCCCATACATATTCCCCAAAATTGGACTATTGATATCTATCAATACTCCTTGACGCCAGAAGTGCAGGAGACTCATTGGGATAGAAAAATAAAGAATCAACTAGATCTAGTAAAGAATTTATGTCACTCTTGAAAATCTTAGAGCTCTTGAAAATCTTAAAAAATTTATATTTTTATAACGATCGTCCAGAAGACGAGAAAACCCAGTAAATTTATAGGTGCACCAAATAATCATAATACTGGGTTGCGGAACAACCAGATATAAATATCATTGGGAAATGGCTATAATCTGGTTAACTTTGAAAATTACTTTTATATATATATGGGAGAAATTCTTGAAAATATTATAAGTTGTCGACAACACAGTTGCCTTCAAAATTGCTCATATTATACGACAATCTGGATCCAGAGCTAGGTGCCAGAAGCGCCTAGATTGATTAACGTATAAAGAGAGCAATTAAAGGCATATATAGCTCAACTCGCTAATCCTTTTATACACCATTGAAGTATTAACCCTGTAGGTTACAAATGGTGTTTGTATAAAGGAAAAACAAGAATGACAAGGTGGTGAGATATAAAGCGAGTATGTAGCCTAAGGGTTCACGCAGAAACCCATAATCAAGTATACTCTCCCATGATAAATATTATTAAAAGTTCCGCTACATGATTGGCAGAATAATTCTAGATATGCAGCTTATTAAAGTCATGACCTAGAAATTATGGGTCATTAGACACTAATGTTTATATGAAAATCCTTGTTGGATTTATAATTCTCAAAAATGAAAGAGAGTAAATATCACAACACGTTTGTTGTTGAAGTACAATTGCTTTACTCAAACTTAAAATAGTGAAGCAATTGATTGAGTAATTTCCTCTTAAAATAGGAAATTATAGAAATGAATATGTACCAGTAGGTACTTATTAAGGGGCTTATTGGAGATGGAGAATCAAGTATTACATCGACCTGTAGATCGAGCATTTCCTTAAAAGGAATTTTACATACTATTTAGTCTATGTCCAAATAATCTCCTGAAGTAGATAAGGACCATTTTTACCTAAAAGGATACTTCAGGACCAGAAGTCCACTGCTTCAAAACGTCAGTTTTTGAATACCTTTTCTTTGAGACATAAAATTCCCAAATTCACATCTTATTTTTGTAATTTGTAAAGAGTGATTTGGTGATTCTCCTAGAAAGAAAAGGAAATGATGTTAAATAATATCCTTAAGGTATAAAATACATCTTTCGAGAAGTCATTTGAATATTGGCATTATGTTAAACGCCATGACTTGGATTGATATATTGTAAATCAATCTAAGCTTTAAGCATCTTAAAGCCTAAGGGATAATACTTGTTCTTATAGATGTATTTTGTATATTATCATCTCGTTATTACTTTCCCGCTTTGTCATAGCGATTGTTAAGTTATGAGATGAAATAAGGAATAGCAAATCAAGGTA